ATTTCAGATGCTGTCACATCCTACAACCTCGTCATATGCAGAGAGAAACTGACACTCAATCACATCAAAATACAGATAATGATTAACTTAAAGGCATCATAGAGGATTGTGAAGATATTTCACTGGAGCTTGGTCTTCAATACATTATTTTATGTTCTATTTTGTTTTACTTCTTTAAGCATTTATTTATGTTCAATGTCCATTGTCATTCATTAATGTGTTCTGCTGTTAGAACACTGCAATTTTTGCAACAATTTCACGTCATTTAAAAAAGTACCTAATTGACACGTTGTTGTTGTTGTTGTTGTTGATTTTATGTAAAACCCTAATAGACACTTCAAGATATTATAAGACCAGGCAGATAGAGGGGTAAAAAAAAACAATATTAATAAATAATATATACAAATAATACTAATATGAATTATATTAGCATACTAATATTAATGAAAAACTATCATTAAAAAGGTTATTTATAACACCATTAAGGTCCTATAAGGCATTTTTAAAGCATGGTTCTATATGGAACCCTATAAAAAAGGTTCTATTTAGCACTAAAAAGGGTTCTGCTATTGTTACAAGCCGAAGAACCCTTTTCTGGTACTGTTTAGAACCATTTTTCTTAAGAGTGTACGCAATTCGGAAAAATAGGTGTCTTTTCTGCATTAGGTATGTTTTTCTGGGGGGTTTTTTCATGTATTTTTAATGTTGAATATATGTTATATAAATATATGACATGTAAAACATATAAAAAAGTGTTCCTGACTCGTCAATCATTAAAAGTGAAACTCCGCCTATGTATTTCCACAGCGACTTCACAGGAAAAATCCACCTCAACATTTGCATTTGTGTTTTCCATTTTCTTTCAGCTTTGATACTGTCAGTGACCAACAGCATGTTTCTGCATCCCAAACTAAACAATATTTTCACAAAATTTGAACATATTCTGTGTTACCATTAGCACAGTATCTGTTGCGTCATGAGTGCTTTCACACAGAGTAACAAAAACATGCAAATAAAATACAGCAGCAACAGCACACTCAACACTTTATTTATGGAAATCATAAGCACAGAGAACGTCCATATTATTTCACTATGTATGCAGCCAGGTGCACTGTTGCTCTCTTCATATAATGTCAACTTTTCACAGAAAATGTAATTCACTGGTGTTACAAATCATGCTTGCATTTGATTTAAATGCTACTTTAACCTAATTTTATTATTACCTTATTCTCTTTAATCTATTTCTCTCTCTCTTTTTCACTGATCAGCATGCATATGAGGACCTCCAGGCCAGCAATGACTATGACTAGACATGGGGTCAAACCAGATAAAAAAGATTAATTTTTAATACTAAAAATCATGTTCACATTCACCATTTACACTGCAAAAGCAGCAGCAGTGTAAATGTATTTACATATGAGGTACAAGAGCAGGAAAATAATCTAAAAATAGAAAATTAATGATATTTTGAATTCACAGATAAGGAAATATACACTCTCTGTCACTATGACAGCTGAGTTTAAAGCGTCTCTGATGCAGTTGCATTTACATCAGCCAATCAGTGGTAACATGATGTAATTTTCCTGCAGCTCTAGTCAGTTTCTTGTCCAGCTCTACTTGCCTCATGAATATTAATTGTTAGCCTAAATGAGATTCATTCAATAGGAAGTAGTTGGTAAGTGAGCACAGTCAGTTTTAATTTTGTTCACCCTGACAAATTGTTGTGTAAATGACAGAACAGTCCCATGAAGTCATATTTGAATAAACTAATAAATATTCATAAAAATTACATTTCTTTTGTCCTAGTTTGCGCTCTTTCACTCTTCTCAGCTGTAAAGTGCATGCGGCGAGATCCGCGTAAGGTCGCGGTGAAATGAAGGGCTTCGTTGGTGTATTAATTTTGGGGGTGTGAAACACAGTAGGCAGTCTGTCAGGACTGAGTGAGATGGTTTCTTAATTGAAAAGAAGCACTCAATGGAGTTGGTTGATGTCTGATATACTGAAGACTTTGTGGGTATACATGTGTGTGGTTTCTGAAATGGATTAAACAAGATAAATAAACTTAATGATATGAATATACAAA